AGGAGCCAAGTACCCCCGAGGAGCAAGTGATTTTCATTGCCAATGCTAGAGGGAACAACCCTTATAGCAACACCTATAACCCCGGGTGGCGCAATAATCCATACTTTGCTTGGTCTTCCCCTACCAATCCAAAACCTCTTGGTTTTCAAGGTCCAACGGGAAACTACCAACCTCGGCCAATATTCATCCAACAAAGGCCTCAATTTCAAAAACCGAACTTCCAATAACCATACCAAGCACAAGGTAGTCAAGGTTTTCAACAACAACAACAAGGTGACAAGTTCTCTAAACTTGAAGAACTTATGAACGCGTTTTTTAGTACAAGCTCACAGAAGTTTGAGAAGATTGAGCAATTCATGGATGTGGCAACATCCAAGTTTACCTTGGTTGAGGCGGGACTCGGAAGCCATCAAGCGAGTCTCTAAAACTTGGAAGTGCAAATTAGCAATCTTGTCGGGATCCTCACCGAGAGACCAAAGTGAGCCCTGCCCTCTCAAACCATTGCCAACCCCAAAGATCAAGCCGGGTGCAATGCAATTTTCTTGAGGAGCAGGAAGGTGACCCTGGAGTTGATTGCCAAAGGAGTGGATGAGAAGGAAAGATTGGAAGCAGAATGTGGAGGTTTCATGGAGATGCTCCGAAAGCTCCACCTCAACATTTCCTTCCTTGAATAAATGGCCCACATGCTAAGGTACTGAAAATACCTCAAGGGGCTTCTTTCTAAGAAGCAGAAGTTCGAAGACCTCACCAATGTCACCCTAGGCAAGGAGTGCTTAGCCTTCATCCTCAACAGGTTGCCCAAGAAGCAACCCTATCCAGGTAGTTTTACTATACCTCTTTGCATCGGTTCTCATCACAAAAAATTTATTGGCAGACTTAGGGGCGAGCATTAATATGATTCCATATAATCTTTTTAAGAGGCTAGGCATAGGTGAACTAAAAACTACAAGACTTAGTGTCATATTGGCTGATCGATCTGTCATTAGTCCTAGGGTCATAGTGGAGGACGTGCTAGTATAAGTGGGGAAATTCTGTTATCAGGAGGACTTTGTGAGCATGGATATAAGTGAGTATTCTAAGATTCTACTCATACTAGGACGCCCTTTCCTAGCCACCACCAAGGCATTAATTGATCTAAATGAGGGAACTTAGATTCTGAGAGATGGTGAAGAGAGAATTACTCTTGGAATTGATCCTAAGCCTAGGAGTGAGGAAGTGAAGGAAGTTGAACCTGGTGATATGAATTCAAGTGGAGGGAAGCTTTTCAAAGCAAACCCCACTATTATTTTTGGTTCTTGTGATGATGTGAAGTAGGGAAGCAATGAGGGCATCTCGTCCAAAGAAAGAAGGAAGGTAGCTTGGAGGGAAAGGTTAAGTCGTGTTAATGCCCGGTGGAAACCTCCTTTACCCAAGAGGTTCTGTTTCCTTGGGCATTCAAATCCTCCTAAACTAGTTTAGAGAGAACCCTCCTTAACCCAAGAGGCTCATTTCAAGATGGGTTTCCTTCGGCATTCAATGCCTCCTAAGCTAGGTTAGAGAGAACCATCCTTAACTTAAGAGGCTCAACTAGAGATGGGTTTCCTTGGGCATTCTATGCCTCCTAGTCTATGTTAGTTAATGGGCAAACCTCCTAATTGGTATTAAACATTTAGGGTTTGGTTGTGGGTTACCGTGCGAACTCCAATTCGAGGGTGAAGTCTAACCATTCCTTAGTCGAAAGGTTGAGAGGATCACATCAGTGGCTTGGATCGTATTCCATTCTTCCACCTAGAGTCTAAGAGGGTAACCTTGGTTGCTTGTTAGACTTCTCTACGATTTATGACCCCTTAAACACACACGGTCGTTCGATTCTTCAAGTAATAATTGTTAGCTAGGGAGAGCAACACCCGGGTGAAGCTTTCTCAACTAGAGTAAAATCCATTTTATATTAGATAATGTTTTCACCAAAAATGATCTGTTAGATAATGTTTTCAAACCGTCTTAGTAGCGGTACATGGACCGGCCCGGGTTGATATATAAACATGCATGCCCTATATTGCACCCATCTAAGGTTTATACTTAGACCTTAGGTGGGATTTTATTGTGATAGTCATAGCGAGTCACCCACACTCCTCCAGGTGCAAGTGGGGAAGTTCGAAGCCCTTCTTTAACACCACCCTCCATTCTATAACCTTTGTGTTTAGTTATCGTTCACTAGGTTTTCGTCTATGACTTTTTGCACAAATCATCGCATTTGTGTTTAGTTATTGTTCGCTAGGTTTTCGTCTATGGATTATTGCACAAATCATCGCCTTTTTCCAACATTCTCCAATATATAATTTAATATATAAAGTCTAACATTGGAGTTACTATTCATTAGTGGCTCTCACATCTCCAAGTGTAAGTGGCGAAGTTCCAAGCCCTTCTTTTACCACACTCTCCATTCTACAACCTTTGTGTTTAGTTATTGTTCGCTAGGTTTCATCTATGGCTTTTTGCACAAATCATCGCCTTTGTGTTTTCTTATTGTTCGCTAGGTTTTCGTCTATGACTTTTTTGTCCAAATCATCGCATTTGTGTTTAGTTATTGTTCGCTAGGTTTTCGTCTATAGTTTTTTACACAAATCATTGCCTTTGCCCACCATTTTGCATCCTATCTGGGAATCTTGTCGGCGGAATCCTAAGTTGTTTCCCACCATCATTTCCCAAGGCCGCTACCACGAGTTTTAAATCGGAACTGAGTTTCATCCTCTTTAGTGTTTTTTTCTTTCTCCTTTTTCCTTTTGTTAAGCATTAATTAATATATTAATATATAAAATTGGAGTTAATATTCATTAGTGGCTCTCACACTACTCTAAGTGCAAGCAGGGAAGTTCCAAGCCCTTCTTTTACCCCACTCTCCATTTTACAACCTTTGTGTTTAGTTATTGTTCGCAAGGTTTTTGTTTATCGTTTTTTGCACAAATAATCACCTTTGTGTTTTCTTATTGTTTGCTAGATTGTCGTCTATGATTTTTTGCACAAATCATCACCTTTGTGTTTAGTTATTGTTCCCTAGGTTTTCGTCCATAGCTGCTTTTCACAAATCATCGCCTTTGCCCGCGATTCTGCAGACCATCTGGAAATACTGTCGCCGTAATCCTAAGTTGTTCCCCCACAAGGTTTGTGAAACCGTACCGGACATCATACCGGTTTCGTTGATGGCAATTTTGACCTGACCCGTTTTACCCAACCTGTTTGGCCGATTTTGGGGTGGGGCGTGCATGGGTACCTCTCGTCAACCTAACCTGCCCCGACCCGCCCCATTCTCGACTAAATTACATGTAATCTTAGTCAAATTACTTAGAATCTTCCTCATATTACCTCATATTTTAGCTATAATAAAGTTGTAAATAAGTGAAAACCTCAATTTATCTAATACTTTATCATATTATTGTTTATTTCTTGGTCTTTTGATGAAAATAATGAATATTTTTAAAGTTTTCACATAAATTACATACTCATTGGGTTGACCTATCCCGACCCGCGCCCCATTATAGATTTATTACCCGACCTGGACCTGACCTGCCACGGGGCGGGTATGGGTATCGAGATACCCGGTCCGGACCTATCCCATTGCCATTCCTAATGGCAGAGTATTTCGTGATACGACCGTGGTCCAACCGTTATGTACCGGTTAAATACCGTTTTTGAAATAGTAAAATACTTTTTTATCAGAAAACCATACCAAAAAATTAGTGTATCGTTTCGTAATAATACCGGAAAAAATCGGAATATATCGTCATATTATTTGAGTTTTTATTTTTTTATCATAAATTATAAACCAATCTAAAAGAAAATTTCCAATTCCACAGAAAAAAAGACATATTTGTATTGCTCATATCACATGCTAGTGGCAGAGGCAGGCCCTTAGGGCCTTGTCCCGGGACAGGGGTAAGTTTCGGCGGAACAAAAATACACCCATATATATTTATATTGGTAATGGAACACAACACCTATAGGTAGTATTAGAGTACTTTATCACCACAACACAACTTATTACTTGTCCAAAATTCACATAAAATTAATTTATTATACTATAAATGAAATTCCAATTGCAATAAAGACCTAATCGGGTCTCTTTTCTCCTTATGCCTATTCGAACTTTTTCCCAACAAACCTGAAATTGTCTAGCGACAACAGCAATCCCACTAGTTTTGATCTACCAATTACAACTGCAAGTGTAAAAAGAGCATTTTCAGCTTTTATTTATATTAAGAACAAGTTTCCAAGTCGATTTGGCAACCAAATTGCTAATACTTATTTAGTAAGATACATTGAAAGAGACTTATATAATAGTGTAGACAAAGAATGTTTTTGCGTTTCTTTCACTATATGAAATTCCTTCGTAGTTGTTTCTAAAAAGTATGATTGTATTATTTTAATTTATGAATGATTTATCTGGATATAATTTTTTTTATTAAATAATTATTTTATTAGATACTTATATATTTAAGTTATGAAGAAAGGACATGGGTGGTTTGAAATGCTGCCTCCGCCACTGTCACATGCCATCTCTCGTCTCTCTCATCAAACCAGGTGACTTCTCCACTTCCTCTCTCTCTTGCTCTCTGTCTCCATCTCTAGCAATAATTCTAGATCCATCCAACCCGAAGCCTACAAACTAGGGGTGGCAGTTCGGTTACCAGTTAACCGGCTGGTTAAACCAATAACTGATCGGTTATCCACTAACCGGTAACCGAAGTAACCGAACTTCTGTCGGTTATCGGAAGCTGGACGTAATGATTTTTTGTCTTAAAAGTGGTACGGTTAAACGATAACCGAGATAACCGAGAAACCAAATTCTATTTCGTTAGGTTTTCTGTATGGGGGTGGTTATTTCGGTTAACCGATAACCGGTCGATCGATTACCAGTTATAACCGAAATAACCGAATTGCCACCCCTACTACAAACCTACACCAAGCAAATATCTACCCAGTAATCCATAGCCAAATAACTACACAAACTATTTCTAAATCTCATGGAAGCAGGCTCAAAAGCAGCGACGCGACCACTGCTTCCTCACTCTCTCCTCCTACTTCTTCTGGCGAACGATGCAAAGAGAGGAACTGAGTACGACGGTCGACAGGCTCTACAGCAGTTGGCGATCGAGTATGAGAATAGCAGGGCAGCGAGCGGCGAGGAACAAGCAAGCAGAAGCGCTGTCGCCGGAATGGCCCTGCAAAATGATCCTGCCCGGATTTCTAGCTTCGATATATGTGGCCTAGATATGCTGGTAAATCTTATAGCCATCTCTCAGTCCTGAACAATACATCATCGTTTATACCTAATCCTTTTTTTTTATTTTAGAAGTCGGCGGTTGGACTAGAAAACGGGTGGTATTTCGCAATACGTCAGTTTGACGGAAAATACTGATCGGCTTGTTAATTTTCCCATTTTCAGTGTGCCATTCCGGATTTGCTCTGATTTCTGGTTTTCCCGATAGGACTGGCGGGCATGACACGGTTTCTTAATCCACGGTTCCCCAACATCGTTTCCCAAGGCCGCTACCACGAGTTTTGTATAGGGATCGAGTTTCCTACTCTTTAATGTTTTTTTCTTTATCTTTTTCCTTTTTGTTGAGCATTAATATATTAATATATAAAATTGGAGTTACTATTTATTGGTGGCTCTCACACTCCTAAACAATAACTAAACACAAAGTTTGTAGAATGAAGATTGGGGGTAAAAGAAGGGCTTGGAACTTCGCTAGGTTTTCGTCTATGGTTTATTCCACAAATTATCGCCTTTGTGTTTTATTATTGTTCGCTAGGTTTTCGTCTATGACTTTTTGCACAAATCATCTCCTTTGTGTTTAGATATTGTTCGTTAGGTTTTTGTCTATGGCTTTTTGCACAAACCATCGTCTTTGCTCACCATTCTACAACCCATCTTGAAATACTTCCGGCGGAATCCTAAGTTGTTACCCACAATCGTTTCCCAAGGCCACTACCACGAGTTTTGTATCAACACCGAGTTTCATCCTTTTTTGTGTTTTTTCTTTCTTTTTTTCCTTTTTGTTGAGCATTAATTAACATGTTAATATATAAACTTGGAGTTATTATTCATTAGTGGCTCTCACCCTCCTCCAAGTGCAAGTGGTGAAGTTTCAAAACCTTTTTTTACCTCACTCTCCATTCTATAACCTTTGTGTTTAGTTATTGTTCGCTACGTTTTCGTCTATGGCTTTTTTCAAAAATATTCGCCTTTGTGTTTTGTTATTGTTCACTAGGTTTTCATCCATGACTTTTTGCACAAATCATCGCCTTTGTGTTTAGTTATTGTTAGCTAGGTTTTCGTCTATGCCTTTTTGCACAAATCATCGCCTTCGCCCACCATTCTGCAGCCCATTTGGAAATAGTGTCGGTGAATCCTAAGTTATTCCCCACCATCGTTTCCCAAGGTCGCTACCGCGAGTTTTATATCAGGATCGAGTTTCATCCTCTTTAGTATTTTTTTTTCTCTTTTTCCTTTTTGTTGAGCATGATCACAATTGAACCCAATGCCGCTATCGAAAATTCATACCATATCTACTCAACGTTGGCAATTTTTATATCAGGACCGAGTTTCATTCGCTTTACTGTTTTTTCTTTCACTTTTTCCCAAGGTTGTCAAACCGGGGAGCGGTGTCAAGATGTGCCGATGCTGGAGAGTTATGTTTAACAACAAAAGGTGTTAGCGTGAAAATGAAACCTTAGAGTCTTAGGCTTTCTCATTCAAAATTTTGTCTATATATTCCAAGAGTGGTACTATATGACAAAGGTGTGTTACCTTGCTTTTGAAGAATAAAAGATAAAGCATAACTAAAACTAAAGACTAAACTCAACATTGACATTAAACTAAACTTGTTGATGATGATAATTTCCTCTAATTTAAGTATTGAAGATCTTTCAATATCTCCTATTACCTCCCCCCCCCCCCCCCCCCCCCCCCCCCCCCCCCCCCCCCCCCCCCCGCGCCCGCGCCGCTGCAAACGGGTGAGCACAAAATGTGTACACCAAGTTTGGAGAGAATACAGTCATGACTTGGGATTGTTGTTGCACTTTCGCTGGCTAACTTTCCTTTCATCTTCAATTGGTGGAGCTGCTGCATCTTGCTTGCTGGCTTCCCGCACATCTACTGAAAAGCTACAACATCTATGGCTAGCTAACTATGAAATCTTCTTCTTCTTCAACCAATGATACCACGACATCTTTCGCTAGTTGATATCTCATCTTATTCTTCAACTCCTCAACCCCAACTCAACTTTGTAGCTTGAGTTTCTCCAAAATTTGATAGGATATGCTGCTGCCTTTTCTTGGTTGGCTAGCATTCCTTCAATTGAAAATGTTGCTGCAACTTGGCTAGCTGGCTGAACATTCACATCTTCAGCTTTTCTGCTTCAGATGGATCTTCAAAGTGGTCTGGATATGTTGCTGCTGACTTTGCTAGCTAGTATTCCATTGGAAAGATGAATCTTCAAAGATGGATCCTCAATCAGGCCAATTCATTTCAATATAATCATCCCCAACTCTGCCCAGATATTCAACTATGTTGTTGGCACTTCTCTTTTGAGCATTCATGAAGGAAATTTCAAACTCTTATTTAAAGAGCTCACCTTCCCGTTATGAGTATTCTTTAGTGATTTGAAGATGCCTTCTTTCGATGCATTCATCCTCCTCTGTATCCATCTCTGCAACTGCCGGGTAGAGAGTCCCTCTTTTGTCGACACCAAAGAGGGTTCGCCACTTCTCGATTTGCCAGACTGTCAATTTCTTTCCTGACAACAGTGTCGAGTTTCTTCGCAGCCGACGTTCAGCAACAACAACAGTGGCGATGATTTCTTTTTCTAATCTAGATCCGTCGGCTGGGCTTATGAAAATTTTGGGTTTGAGTTGACAAGAATGAAGATCTAGAAGTGGGATTTTCGAAGGCTGATGACGATTGAGGGATAGAAGGCCGATGACGTCGGGCTTGCAACGACGGTGCGAAGGTCCAACGAGGCGACGGGATGCTGGACGTCGAATTGATGGCGGCTGTAGCAAGGAATAGGGTGGAGATGGGAGCAGGATGAGATTTGGGGAAAATAATAAAAGGGTTTTGGAATCTGGGTTAAGGAAGGTAGAAGGGACTACGGTGAAGAGAAATGGGTCGTGATGTCGATTCAGATCTGCGGGCTCCGACTCCTTTGGTCGTGAGATGGTCGCGGGTGATAAAATGGTTTTGCGGTTAAGAAATTTGGAGATGGCGATGATTTTTGGCGGAAGGCAGTGAGGATTCGTGGGCACCCTGCCCCCACTGCTTCTCCAATTTCATGAAATCCTCCCTCTTATCGTCCCAGACTGTTTGGGGGATGCACTCATCGAGGAACATCTTCACAAACTGGTTCCAGGTGATCTCAAGAGGTACCACTTCACTCTCCGGCTGGAGATGCCACCAATCCCTAGCAGTTCCCTGGAGCACGTGGATAGCCATGGCGATCCTATCCCCATCATTATCAATATGGAGCTCATCCAAAGTCCGAGTGAGCTTCAACAGCCATGCATCGACCATGTCGGGGTCAGAGGATCCCTCGAAGTCAACCACCGCCATTTTCCTAAGCAGGGTATAGTTTGGGGGCGGCCGCCGACCATCATCCTGATGAGAGCTCTCGCTATTCATACTCCTACATAAGCTCAATGACATTTTGTCAGAACCTTGGAAACATTGCACTTGTTAGGAGACGAGACTAGATGCTCTAAACCGATTTTATGTTTTCTTGAAAACTTTCTTGAAAACTTCTTAAAACCTTTAATACGCGTAGGAAACATGCATACCGACTTCCCAGTATCTCACTTACAAAGTGTAAGATAGAGGGAGATCAGGCTCTGATACCAAAATGTAACACCCTAACTCGGCCGAGCACTACTTTTATTAAAATGCCCTTGAGTAGTCAAAATAACTCAAAATTCCAAGAACAACTGAAATAATTTCAAATCACCGCAACAAATCATAAATGAGCATCAGTCTCAAGCCTACTAATAAAAGTACACAAGTGAAGGAGTTCACTTGGGATCTTCTGCAATCACTAACCCTTGTGAGGATGACATCTCGAGCAACAGCTTATTCCTGACAAGTGATATGATTGCTCCCACTTCCTTGCAGCTCCTGAGTGCGGACGATGGGGTCAGTCCTAATCCTAATTTCGTTATCATACGTAAATGAATACTAGCGTGGGTCCCGGCCAGTTGGCCGGAGGAAGGTGAGGTATGAAATTTGATAATGTAATGTGGTGTAGAGCTTATTGTTGTATAGTTTTTTTTTTGAAACTCGTGATAAAAATAGTGAATTTTAGCAGGAAAAAGACATGAATGATGCAATAAATAAAAAATCGGCCTTATGAACCAAAATCAAGTTCATGTTACCTTGTGAAACAATATTGTTTCTGGTAATATGATGAGGTAGAGTAAGTTTTATAGAAACCAAATTCCAGAAAATCGAATAAAAAATCGCATATCCCGTCGGTTTTCGGGAAATGAGCATCTCACAATCGTTGCTAGCTTTTACTCGGCCCGTTGGTTGATTAATTTGCTTTATAAAACTTTCATCTTGTCGTCATTGTGCTTTCTGATTTTTGTTAGGACATGATAAAATCTAAGGAAATCAAGAACGAACAACACGATTTGGGATAGGAACCGTCGTTGTCGTATCCCTAGAAAATGGTGGTAAACACAGACTCGCCTGCCAAACTAGTTTGGATTGAGATTTTTATCGGGTATCAGGGAACCATGTGATTATAAATTAGAATTGATCAAAACGGGCCAAAACTTGAAATTCAGCATATTGGACCGACCCATGCCAAATTCTAATTATTCTTTACTTTTAAACTTTCTATTTGAAAATAAAAAATAGTGAAAGAAAAGAGATGACTACAATTCGCCATTTGCACATCACTTATTCGGGAATAAAACCATAAAAATTCAAAAGGAACTGAAAATATTTAGGATCGTTTTAATGTTTAAAATAACCAAATAGATCATTCTGTTTAGTTTTTTACTAACAAATACCAAATAATTCCCTATAAAATACACTATAATTTGATCATTATAATATCAAATAATTATATAATATATATTTGAAATGATAAAAATTGGACTAATTGGGTTGGTCGAGGTTGAACCATTGAATAACTTTAAAATACATTATATTTTAGCCACTAAGATATAAAATAATAGCATAATATATATTATGCCAGACCAAATAACTTGTTTTAGAATGACAAACCAATGATGTTCATTTGTTTTACTTGATGGCCAAATACCGTGTAGGTCAGGCCCATTCAACTCTTTTATTTTATGGTTAGCGGTTAGCGGTTAGCCCATTAGATACCATGCATTAGTTTATTGTTAAATTTTTTATTTTTAGCAATACAAATGAGTATTGTTTTTGCCTTTCCATATATATTATATCACCACGGAGAAATAAAATGGCTTAAAGAAAAAAAAAATTGACACTCCTTGGCCCGTATAAATCCGCATGTATACGGTAAGTTGGCCCGTTCCACAGAGGAAAGAGAAAAAAATTGATACTCTTTATTCTACCCTTCCTACAAACGCTCCTGGAGCAGGGAACTTGAAATGGGGGAAGGGTTTTTTCTTCCATGCTATTATATGTTTTTAATTTAAAAAGATACAACAAATGTACTTAGTGTGATTGGTTATGATCCTTGCTTTTCCTTAAAATGGTCATGGTTCGAATCCTAGTACATGTCTTTTTAATGAATAAAAAAAAGTAATTGTGAAGACCAAAATGTCCTTCCTACTTTCACTCTCGTTGCAGGAAATTTGAAATGGGGCTCCCGTTTTTCCCTTCGGTGTATTATATTATGTGTAGATTAATGCAAATGAGATGCCTATGATACGTTATTGGGTACATTAGTAGAGATATATTATTCATAACATATTATTACTTATAGTGTTCTTCGCTTACTTAACTTGAGATGGGATCCCACCCTCTACCTAACTAGCACAACCGTCCGACACCAACGTATCATGAACATTACCTCCCCATCTACAAGGAGTAACATAACATACCTCACAATCTACATGGAGTAGTGGTGACCTTGTCCAGCACCGATCGTGACATACGTATTAGACCCCTCATCTACAAGGTGCTCCTCATCTACAAGAAGTAAGGTGACCGCGCGAGACTAGCTAATGGAGGGTTCTTATTCTTACTTATTAGCTTGATATCTCATGCGTGCTTACTTGAAACACCCTCTCACGCGATGGAGAGACATACTTAATCTTATATCTACTTACTTGACTTGAGAAGTTCGAGCTTACTTAGGTGATCTCCCTCATAATGGGAAGATATAGCTTATTAACTTGTACTTGAATAGCTTAGAATTGAACTGATATTCGCATGTCTTGAATCGTGGTTTACTTATGTTTCATGATGCTATGCATACTTAATATAAAGACTGAACGTAAATAAATTAACTTAACAAAGGAGCGAAACAAATAACTTAATATAAAGTAAGAACTGAAACACATACATAAACTTAAATGCACGATAAGGAAAACTACTCTAACCCCCTTTAACCACGCACCTTACTAATCAAATCGTTCGCCCTGACTCGACGAGAAACAATACCTCCTCTCCAGATGCGGTGTGATATCTCAATCTGGCTGCCAGCGATCTGCGCAATTATCACCTCTACAACGTCACACATAACCAGATAATTTAAGTCTTTGCTTTTACCCATTAAAATACCCTTCATATCCTTGACGTACCCAGTACGCTCATGACCCACAGATATTTCCCCAAAAGCCATTAATTTGATACAAATTGCTTTATGGTACAACCTAAACTTATACATTTAATGTTATGGTACAACTTTAAGTTGTACATTAAAGCACCAATACTATATAGCATAGTAGAAGTGCTCTAGGTTAAATATATTAATTACCATAGGCAATTGACGGAGGGCAATTTAGAATTCCTATAAAAAACTACAAATCCCACATCGACAAAGCACGGAGAGATCCTCTGTTCATAAGTAAGAAAGAGACCTTAACTGACAAAACGCGTTTTGAGGTGTAATGGAGGATAAGAACTCCAAAGTTAAACGTGCTCAGTGTGGAGTACAACAAGAATGCGTGACCTTATAGGAAGTCATCTTGAATTGCATCTAAAGTCTATATCTGTGAGGGTCGAGGCCCAAAGCGGACAATATCTTCGTCGAGAAAAGGTTGGGATGTTAGAATATACTCTTCCACCCATTCTTTGATTTCTCCATCGACTATGGCGATCCCTTCGACACCTCTACAATCATCAGAAGTGGCGCCACATCCGATTGTGGGGCAATTTTCGCCATTGCTTCAATTCATACAAGCTTTCTTCTACCCTTCGACTCAACTATTTTGTCCTGCTATTCGATCTCAATTTATACGTCGTGCGCCGCGACTCTCCTTCAACCCTCACCACTCGCGCTTTCTCAGGTTGCCCGTACTCTGGGCGAGGATAGCTATCATGGAAGGTTCACGACACCTTGACCGTTATTTTCTGAAGCTCTCAGCTTTAGGTATATTCTTCTTCCTCTGGTTCTCATGGATAGTAGTCAATCAAACTAATTAATGTTCCTTTCCGATTTTCTTTTTCAAATCTGTTACATAGCTTGGAAACGGAGTTCGAGTGACCACGTTGTGTTTAGGATAAGGCAGCGTGTAGAGGTACAAGTATCCTCCATCATCAGTTTATGTTATTGATTGATTCCTTCCACTGCAATTGCTTTGTTGTTGAATCTCTGGTCTCACTAAAGTAGATATGTTCAATCGCTATTCTGCACGGAAGCCTCGGTTCTTCTTCTTTGCATATGATAAAATCAAACTCTATCTTCATAATTAGGTATTTGACTTATTTATGAGCTGATATGATTTCTTAGGTGGGTTTTCTACAGATTGCGAAACTTGTTCCTCAATTCAATATTAGTTGCTTCTTACTTGTATGCTACAAATATGGTTATCTGATCATATATTTGCTTTGTAGCCATCATGGTCATCACCTTCACTGTGATGTTGTCAGATCTCTAGTGCTATTCCTCAGGTGTTCTGTCCTGTAATTACTTAAAAGGTAAATTAAGGCTTTTAATTGGAGGCATTTTTATTTCAAGAGTTCTGAATGTTGGTATTGAATTGGTTCTTATGAGATTACTATTATTATATTAGTGTTTAAGTTTAAAAAGATCATATACTCTCTTGACGAACTTCTAATGTACCATATCCCTTTATATGAAAGTTTTAATGTTTTTGTTTCCTGGACTGATTATGCTTTCAATTTCTCTAGGGGTCAATGGAGGATTCACTTTGTGCACCATCTTCATCAAGCCTTATATCTCGTAGGTACTTTCCAGTAGTTGTCATATAAGAAAGTGTGATTCTTTTACACGGTATCACTATAGTTTATAACTTTCCCCCTTATTCTCACACAACTATGCCTTTATGACAATATTCTGATGTTTGCTGAAAATTTTACTTTTATTATTTAAGGGGCCGAACCTAATGAATTTGTAGCTTTGTAGAGTTGTCTTTGTCAATGGGGTAAGTATTTTAGCAAGTGGACTTGAGTAACAAAATATAAGATTAGACAGTTTGATGTTAAAATGATACTTGATATGTGAAAATGGTTCTTGCTTAGGTAGCTTCATTTAGCAAGTTGACTTGAATCTAGACTACTTATAATACATTTTAAAAGGGTTAATTGCATAGTTGGTCACTGAGATTACAAAAAACGTTCATATTTGGTCACTGTAAATATTTAAATCCAATCTTGGTCACTCAAATTAGTTAAATGGTTCAAGTTTGGTCACTCTCCATCCAACTCCGTTAAATTTATCTGATGTGGCAGTCAACCCTCAAAGTTGACCGTTAACTCAATGACGTGGCAATTAGAAAATAATAAATAAAATAAATTTTAATCTTCTACCATTTCCAACTCTTTTTCACACTAAAGTAAAATAAAAAAATAAAAAAAATATTATAATTACAAATTGAAAAGGGGTTCTCCGATTCAGCCCCGCCGCCTCTGCTTCTTTCCACACCTTCGAAGTCGTTGTTATAGGCGCCGGAATCATCGGATTGACGATCACTCGATAGCTCTTGACTAGCTCCGATCTCTCCGTCGCCGTCGTAGATAAGGCTTGGTCACTCTCCGTCCAACTCCGTTAAATTTATCTGATGTGGCAGTCAACCCTCAAAGTTGACCGTTAACTCAATGACGTGGCAATTAGAAAATAATAAATAAAATAAATTTTAATCTTCTACCATTTCCAACTCTTTTTCACACTAAAGTAAAATAAAAAAAATAAAAAAATATTATAATTACAAATTGAAAAGGGGTTCTCCGATTCAGCCCCGCCGCCTCTGCTTCTTTCCACACCTTCGAAGTCGTCGTTATAGGCACCGGAATCATCGGATTGACGATCACTCGATAGCTCTTGACTAGCTCCGATCTCTCCGTCGCCGTCGTAGATAAGGCTTGGTCACTCTCCGTCCAACTCTGTTAAATTTATCTGATGTGGCAGTCAACCCTCAAAGTTGACCGTTAACTCAATGACGTGGCAATTAGAAAATAATAAATAAAATAAATTTTAATCTTCTACCATTTCCAACTCTTTTTCATACTAAAGTAAAATAAATAAATAAAAAAATATTATAATTACAAATTGAAAAGGGGTTCTCCGATTCAGCCCCGCCGCCTCTGCTTCTTTCCACACCTTCGAAGTCGTCATTATAGGCGCCGGAATCATTGGATTGACGATCATTCGATAGCTCTTGACTAGCTCCGATCTCTCCGTCGCCATCGTAGATAAGGCTGTTCCGTGCTCCGGTGCTACCGGCGCAGGTAATCACTTTCAGATTATTGAATTTTAATTTTATTCTTAAACAACTGAGTGTCAATTACTTTCATTCATCTGACTGTTAAGTGTTAACTCAGTCAGCACTTCTCTGGTCTCCTCCCACAGTCGTTCTTCTTCCCACAGTCCCAAAGCTAAAACCGCTCCGCTGCCATTTGTTCATTTTTCAAACGCACTATCCCATTTCCCTCCCAAACAAAAATGGCTTCTTCGGCGCTATCGCTCCCCGTTCGTGGACTTGTTCTTCTCCCCAATACCGCGATGTCGCTTCTCTTCCACGCTCCCGCCGCGGTTCACTTGCCTTCCCCAACGGCTATAACACAGAATCCGCCTTCTTCGGCTCCAAACTCCCCGCCAAATCGCTTTCCTGCTCACCGGCGACACATCGATGTCGCGACCGGACTCTCCGATTCAGCCCCGCCGCCTCTGCTTCTTTCCACACCTTCGACGTCGTCGACATAGGCGCCGTAATCATCAGATTGACGATCGCTCGAAAGCTCTTGACTAGCTCCGATCTCTCCTTCGCCGTCGTAGATAAGGCTGTTCCGTGCTCCGGCTCTACAACAACTCTCTCACCGGCGCTCTGCCCCAGGGCTTCTCCAATCTCACGACCTTGAGGCGTTTCGACGCCTCCATGAACGACTTGACCGGGACCATTCCCGACGAGCTCTGTGGGCTGGACCTCGAGTCACTCAATTTGTTCGAGAATCGGATTCAAGGGAGCCTGCCCGAGAGTATAGCCAGCTCCCCCAACTTGTACGAGCTCAAGCTCTTCAATAATCAGATGAACGGGACTCTGCCCTTTTCAATTTGTAATTATAATATTTTTTTGTTTTATTTATTTTACTTTAATGTAAAAATGAGTTGGAAATGGTAGAAGATTAAAATTTATTTTATTTATTATTTTTTAATTGTCACGTCACTGATCTAACGGTCAACTTTGAGGGTTGACTGCCACATCAGACAAATTTAACGGAGTTGGACGGAGAGTGACCAAACTTGAACCATTTAACTAATTTGAGTGACCAAAATTGGATTTAAATATTTACAGTGACCAAACATGAACGTTTTTTGTAATCTCAGTGACCAACCATGCAATTAACCCCATTTTAAAGAGTTTGATTTGCTCCATTTCAATTTTCCTACAACGAGAGTGAAAGTAGGAAGGGTATTTTCGTCTGCATAATCATTTTTTTATTTCATATAAAAAGATATCAATGTTAGGATTTGAACCATGGTCCCTTCCACCAAAGACAAGAATTGTAACCAATTAGGCTCGAATTTGTTTTTGTACTTTATTAATACAAAACATAGAGGAAGTTGAAATTATGAAAACAAAGTACTTTTCTATCACAGTTAGTTAGCCCGCTAAGTCTCCTGTAAGTATTTTGTGGAATTTGATATTTCTATTTTCATATTTTAATAATTAATTTATAATTTTTTCTAACTTATAAATGAAGGATAATCTTAAAATCTCAACACAAATTTCATTGGTTGGAATATTGCGCATTGAATTGAAGTGTTCAATGAAGTTTTCAATGACGATATAAGGACAATGGTACCATACATTTCAAGATAAATAAAAATGACAAACACCGATAGCAATTATCTCGACAGTCTATGCTAAAATTCGAAATTGTTTAATCATTCAATTTGAATGATAGTTTAGTCAAATCAAGCAAATAATTCACGATTGTGTATGAACAAAAATAAAAAACATATGTATTGTATTATGAAAAATGTATTTATTTTAACAATCTAAAAAAAACAATCAAAACTTCCATACGACCCCTTATTTCAATAATGTAATTAATGAAATAATTTTTATCAGCATGATGTAATGTTCAAGCTAATGTCCAAGTATTAACACCAGTATATAGTATTCATCATAGTTAACTATTTCAATATCCACAGCTAACTATTAATGGTTACTTGCTTTCTCTTAGAGAGTTTAATGTAACACTCTCATGCCTAGCTATGCTCTAAGCATTTGTTTTCTTTTTCACAATATCATTTGCAGTTATTTATTAAATCAACTTTGTTTCTAGCTTTCAATTCCTAATTATTCACTTCTTCATACCAACTTATGAGAATGCTAAATATATTTTTCATGTCTAATCTATTAAACATATATGTTGCTTATCACTTAAATTCAATGGTATCCATGTTAGGTTTGATGTCACCAACATATTCTCCCAATTTCTCCTAAAAGCATAATATATTGTGCTTGATATCATAGTTTCGTAAGGTAAAGTTCAACAAACTCAATCAATATTCGAACTCTTCGAAATAGCTATCTACATGCGAATATGAAGTACTGAGTAGCTAAAACTCTACTTGAGTTAGTACAATCTTTTGCGCTATCGATTCAAAATTCAATACATGATTATCTTAGTACAATTTAGTCATACTAATTATGCAGTAGGGGACATCTTATCAAAATCTTAAAGAAAGACTCTTTGATTGATCGCTTTATTGATGTAATCTATTCAGCACATAAATTTTCAATGATGTAAAATTTATGAAACTAAGATGCATATTAATAAACAATGTAAGGTCTCATCTTCCCTCTTAAGCACTACATATCATTGTTTACTTATCATTAAATCAAAGTCTTTCTAACTTGAGTAAGAGCTACAATGACTTTTATTAACTTTCACTACTCATATATCACAAGTGTTCAAATCATTATCAAGTGTTCATACAATGACTTTTATTGTTGTGGATTTCCCCCAAAATGTTAAGTATGCTGCTTTTAGTTTTTGCCTTCTTTTCGCTTTGATTTAGCTTTTTATGTGTTGCTCTATTAGTTGAACTTGCAGTTGGAGATCTGCATGCTTTGTTTCATTATATCATTGAATACACTAAAGTCAATGGAACCATGAATGTGTGAGTTAGTTTGTTTCTTTTTAAGTACACTCTAAACATATGGTTTATTTCATTATATCACTTAATACACGAAAGTCAATGAAAAAGGCAAAAAAAATTATCGTCTACTGAATATTGCTATTGTATGTGTGATGTAAAACAACTCTTATCATTGTTCTTCTTAGACATTTTTATATAAATATGACTTTGTTTGAAATATGAATTTATGTTAGTGTAGTTGGGCGTTGTTTGTCATTTTTTAAACTTCATTAGTCAAATACATTTAATACTTACCTATATTATTCATGGAGAACTTACCAAATTAAATTGTTACTTCAATCCTCAATGTTTACTACACATACACATGAAAATCAAACTCTCCCGGCTAACGGGTCGGGCCCTAATCTAGTAACATAATATAAGATTAGATAGTTTGATGTAAACCATCCTACAAGGACTCGTAAGTCTTCTAGTTAGTGTAAACCATCTTATATATTGTACTTTGAAGTGTGTAAACATCTAGCCTGATGAAATGATTAAGAGTTTTTTGGTACAGGGGACGCCCTTTATCTCTTTTCTTATTAATTTTTTATTATGATCTTTGGGTGGGGAGATGTGATTTTTGAGAGAATCTTATTCTCAGAATTTGAGTTATTACTGGTTAGAAAATGTTTCTTTCAGTACTTACAAGGTTTTTTTTTTTTTCTCTGTTTTATTTCTCTTGTTCTGTACTTACAAGGGTTTATTTTTGTTTTCTTTGTAACAAGTAAAGATGCCATGCGGTTTCCACGCGTGGTTGCTCTCTGTACTCTGACTATATGACTGGACGATCTTCGTTTGATGTTAAAAAAAAAAATGCCATGCGGTACACAGTGTGGATAATTTAGAAGAACCAAATTATATTATGGATCTTGTTAGAACATAAATCTTTGTTTAAGTTTGAGATTATTCCTTCAATTGAAAATTGTTAGTTTTGAGTTTTAAGTAAGTACGATTTGTTCAATTTCTTTGTGAGTAATGTATAATATCATATGTAAAGGTTATGTAAAAATAGAAAAAAATTATGCAAAAAACATAAAATCCACTTTTGATCATTTAGCTAGTTATGCAGGGGTCCGGAAATGGTGTTGAAATTTGGTCAAAAATTTGTCAGGAACAGGGGTTCTAATCATCGCTAAACCACTGAAATCTCTTATACGATGGTCATAAAAATATAAATGATAGCCAATTGCCACCGCTGCAAAACCGGTGCAAAACATTCACCAGCGGTTAGTTTGACTGCAAACATATATTTGAGGCGGTCAGATTTGCAGCGGTTCAGCTGCGGTTACGCAAACCACCGCCGGGAGTGGTAACATGGGTTTTGTTCGATGCTAAAAGCCAAAATAACCCCTGCTATAGGAAGTTTATTTTGTAGTGTACATGATTCCAGATAGTTAAAGGTCGGCGGCGAATTTATAGCTTTCCGGTCATTTCTGCTCTCTATCCATCCATTAATTTGATTTTATTCTGCGAGTTGTATGCGTGCCTTGTAAAATAGTCGAATGCGGAAAGTAAAGGACGCACGAGATTTACGTGGTTTCCCGAAGATCGGGACTAGTCCACGGAGAGCATAGCTCTCATGCAGTAGTTCTCACTATGAAGAAGAAGAGTCAGCTGCAACCTTTGCGTTAGGGTTACAAGAGGGCAGCAGGAGAACCCTTATACCCATCGACATGTAATTCGGGTATAGGGAAAATAACAAAACAAGTCCAAAACTAATAAAAGTAAACATATAGGTCCAATACGGCCCAATATGCCTAAATGCCTACAAAATATTGCATTCGATCAGAGCAAGAAGTTAATTGGATCAATCGATTTTTTCCTAATATTTCATGGAGTTGCGTACATATCGTATACACAGATGCACTTGCTTCTTATAGAACTAATTCTTGTAAGGGAGTTAATTAAAATTAATAAGTGATATTTTCCCAATAATTTGAGTTTTTGTGATAAGTTGGTTTATGACATGATACTAAAACTCGTTTCTCATTGGGGTACGTTCTCAGAGCTCTCATTATTAAATGTTGTCTTAATGCACAAGTAGTGGAAGTCTTGTGCACATTCTTTTAGTTCATATATTAAACTTTTTCGTTTGAGATAATTTGTAAGAAAGTGGTTAAAATTCATACATGTCGCAACCGAATTTGAACCCATCGTCTCACGTATCAATCAATATAATGATAAAGTGGGGTTGATAATTAATTATGACAACCCTCGAACGGGGCAATCTTAATTTGTACGTTATATCTCTTATTGGTTTATAATACGAAACATCATAGCTAATCTATCTCCAAAGTTACACGTTCATGTTCTCACGAGTTATTCTAACACAGTATCTCTTTCGGGAAGCAAAGGCGGAGCCAGGGGCTCTTGGATCGATGTGTCCCAGGACACAAGTAACTTTTGGGTACTCATATGGGTTAGACTCGTGTGCTCCTGGAGCATACTATGCTTCGTGTACTCATAGTGAGATATCTCTATCTAGACCATGAATTAAACCGAGTTTGGGGTATGATATTATACTCTAACCTCAAATGGATAAACCCCAGGCACCGATCTTATAATCCCAAACCCAAAGTTCAATTTAAGAGAAAAGAATAGTAGACCGTTCAGATTGGCCGGAGCTAATCCATGTAAATCTAACGGTCAGATCATCTGGAGCATAATATGATCCTAGAGCATACCAGTCATCTTCACACATATATATATATATTCAATTAAGGATTGCATTCATCACTTTTAGGTAATATAAAAGTATTTTATCACTCCACTAGAATTTATTTCAAGTTCAAATGCTAACTTAAATTAATTTATTACACTATAAACAAAATTCACAATATCTAAAAATCAATCTCTCTTTCTGAAGTTAGTTTTGACTCTAACGGTTGCAAATACAAGTGTAACAATATCATTTTAAGCTTTGAGCTATATTAAAAACAAGTTTCAAAGATGAATTGCGACCAATTTGCTAATCATTGCTTAGTTGGATTCATTGAGAATTTGAAAACGCATCGTGATTGCTTATGAAAATAATGATTGTATAGTCTAGTATTTATTTAATATCTATGAATGAATTGTATAATTGGATATTGTTAGTTTTCATTATATTTATTAAATATTTATTTATTTATATTATAGAAAGAGTACACAGATACTTCGGGATTCTGGCTCCGCCACTGTCGGGAAGACATAAAATAATAATGTTTGAGATAATTTGTAAGAAAGTGGTTAAAATTCATACATGTCGCAACCGAATTTGAACCCATCGTCTCACGTATCAATCAATATAATGATAAAGTGGGGTTGATAACAACCCTCGAACGGGGCAATCTTAATTTGTACGTTATATCTCTTATTGGTTTATAATACGAAACATCATAGCTAATCTATCTCCAAAGTTACACGTTCATGTTCTCACGAGTTATTCTAACACAGTATCTCTTTCGGGAAGCAAAGGCGGAGCCAGGGGCTCTTGGATCGATGTGTCCCAGGACACAAGTAACTTTTGGGTACTCATATGGGTTAGACTCGTGTGCTCCTGGAGCATACTATGCTTCGTGTACTCATAGTGAGATATCTCTATCTAGACCATGAATTAAACCGAGTTTGGGGTATGATATTATACTCTAACCTCAAATGGATAAACCCCAGGCACCGATCTTATAATCCCAAACCCAAAGTTCAATTTAAGAGAAAAGAATAGTAGACCGTTCAGATTGGCCGGAGCTAATCCATGTAAATCTAACGGTCAGATCATCTGGAGCATAATATGATCCTAGAGCATACCAGTCATCTTCACACATATATATATATATTCAATTAAGGATTGCATTCATCACTTTTAGGTAATATAAAAGTATTTTATCACTCCACTAGAATTTATTTCAAGTTCAAATGCTAACTTAAATTAATTTATTACACTATAAACAAAATTCACAATATCTAAAAATCAATCTCTCTTTCTGAAGTTAGTTTTGACTCTAACGGTTGCAAATACAAGTGTAACAATATCATTTTAAGCTTTGAGCTATATTAAAAACAAGTTTCAAAGATGAATTGCGACCAATTTGCTAATCATTGCTTAGTTGGATTCATTGAGAATTTGAAAACGCATCGTGATTGCTTATGAAAATAATGATTGTATAGTCTAGTATTTATTTAATATCTATGAATGAATTGTATAATTGGATATTGTTAGTTTTCATTATATTTATTAAATATTTATTTATTTATATTATAGAAAGAGTACACAGATACTTCGGGATTCTGGCTCCGCCACTGTCGGGAAGACATATAATAATAATTCAGATAATTAATTTATACAAAGCTAGGCATGCACGTCTACAAACACTATATGAACCCATCACCCAACACAGCCATTTCATCATCACCACTTGCTCGATCGAGCTTTCTGAGTTTCTTTCTTTCTACGTACAGCCCGTCGGTCTCCTTCTCATCAACAATGATCTGCGACAATGGTGATGAAGAAGAGCTTCTTCCCTTCTGTGCTGGTGCTCATCGTGAGTATAGTCGTGATCGCGATCCGGCGATGATGATCACTAGTGAAGCGGCAGCGGAACTAAGGTGTGGTTCTTATAAGAATGCCTCGCGACCCTGCATGCCCTATGTTCAAGGGAGCGCCGACGCCAAAACTACGCAGAGGAAGAAGGTAGCTAGATGGCTGAAAATGCGTCGCCGGCTCTGTTAATAACCCCGGCTACAAGTGTTGGGCCAAGTATTAAGATACGTGGGCTTGAGGCCGATGGTTACAAAGCCCATAGAAAAATAGATCAAGCCGTGGTGGTCTACCTGACATAGCCAGAGGAGACCGCCCGACACTGACGTATGCACATGTCAACAAACCGCCCGACATTGTGGACTAACGTCCCTCTGAACAAAGAAAGTCCGACATCCGTACTGACATAGCATTTAATGAGTACAGAAGCGTCCCAGACCGCCTGACAGTATATTAAGTTAGTATAAATAGCCCCGAAGGGGCAACATTTATGGTAACTTCGACCTACTCAATTCTCTCTCTTAGTCACTTTACATTCACTTCTCTCTCTAACTTAGGCATCGGAGGAGGTCCCAGAATTCCCATGAGGACCTTTCTTGCAGGGTTTTAGAGGTCGCGTCCCGTTCACTGAAAGCCGCACGAGGCCTATGGTGTCTCACAAAATCGCTTGGGATAGTCTAGGCACAAACATCTTGGCGCACACCGTGGGGCCCCATGTATTCGTTGCGGAAAAGATGGGAGACGATTTCGAGACCCCACTCAAAGGGATGACCGAGAACAACACCCTCCGAGGTCTATCGCCAAGAGTCAAAGATGAAAGTGAACTCAAAGAGGTAGTAAAAAATCAAGGTTGACAAATCGCAAGCATGCAAGACAGCCTCTCCCAAATCCTCCAACTCTTGAAGACGAGAGGAGAACAAGTGGAGGGCTCAAAGGGAAAGGCGCGCGAGGAAAAACAAAAGGTCGTCCACATCCTCGACAGCCCTGCTCGGACAGAAGGCGGGGGACTGGACGCGGAAGAGGTGAACCTCAGCTTCCTTGAGGAGCACCTGCGGTCAACTTATGGAAAGCGCAAAAGCCCGAACGTTCTACAAAATCCGTTGTCGAAGGAGCTATTCAAAACTGCGGTCCCGCCTAATTCTCCTCGCTAGGGTTGCCCACTTACAGCGGGACCTCAGATCCCGCGGACCACCTTTGCGCTTTCATGTTGAAAATGCAACTCATTAAGGTGTCCGACTCGGACTTATGCAGGGCGTTCCCCGTCATCTTCATCGGTCAGTGTCGCACGTGGTACACCTCACTTCCAGAGGGGATCATTAAGAATTTTGAGCATTTCGCGATGCTCTTCTCTACAAAGTTCACATCCCAAAGACGTCGCAAGCTCATCGTCTCAACCCTCATAAATCGTCGACAAAAGAAAGAAGAATTGCTCGCGGAATTCTACGACCGTTGGAACGCGATCGCGTGCGAGGTGGATGACATCTCCTCGGTCGTAGTCGCCGAAACATTAGAATATCCACGAACAGTATCGAGCTCAAAAGAACGTTGATAAAAAAAGGAAACCACCTTGACATCATGGTCCAATCTATAGATCAGCTTGTGCGACGATCAATCTTGCTTGAGGAAGCACTAGCCACTGACGACCGTCCCAGCAAGGTCGCCCCGAGGAGACCATCAAGAACGAGGAGACACAAGGCTGGGAAGAAGCTCTCCAGAACCAAGGTCATATCACAACCGATAATACCGACCGTGATGGCAAGAAGGAAGTATTCTCCACATACCTCGAAAGAGGAAGAGAAAGACGGAGAGGGGGAAGGAAACATGATGCGCCCTCCAGGTAGGAACCCCAAGACGGAAAGAAATGGTGTGATTGGCACCAAATTATCACTCAGGACACCACCGAGTGTCAGGAATTCAAAGTCAGCCTAAGATTTTTGGCGTCGGGCGACTTGCGAAGTCGCCTGGAAACGAGACACTCGCACCGCGACCATTCTCAGGAGACGCGAGAGGGATCCCGTAGCCCCGATATATAGAAAAAAAGAAGAACGAGGAAGGAGAGGTCAAGGTCCCCAACCAGAAACAAGGTCGCCTCTCCTCAAAGGAACTCTCCCGCCTACTAACCCCATCGCAACGACGACGAAGGAATGGAGGTCATCACCATCGTAGGAGGACGAAAGCGGCCTCGGCCTCAAGGAGACCACATAGCCCAATGCCTCAACGTCCAACAAAGAATGTCGACTGACATCACCTTCTTGCCGTCTGAGTTGTCCAGAGAGGAAAACACGGAGGACCCCTTGGTCATTTCGTTCCGAACCGCCAAATTCAAGGTCACACAGGCTCTCGTAGATAACGGAAGCTCCGCAGACATCCACTTTTACTCAGGACTAAAGGAATGAAAAAGAGCGTCCAAGACCTAAACCCATCCAACACCAACTTGGTGGGGTTCTCAGGAACTAAGGTCCGCGTTCTATGGTCAATCACACTCAAAGTCACCATAGGCGAGGGCAGTATCACCAAGACTAGGCCAGTGGAGTTCCACGTAGCAGATTGCCTGTCGCCATACAATGCCAGTCTATGACGCGACTTCCTTGCCTCCTTCGAGGCAGTCACATCAACATGCCATCAGATGCTGAAGTTCCCTAGTGGAGGACAAATGGGATGCGTCTGAGGGAACCCAAAGGAAGCCAAGGAGTGTTACCAAGCTACCATCGAACATCTCGAAGTTGACCTTATGTATGCCAGAGGAGACGTCCCACGTCCCAAAGCCGTTGAGGGCGACTTAGCAGTCACTCTAAATGAAGAGCGACCAGACAGGACGGTTCACATTTCAGGCCACCTAGTCAAAGAAGAAGCTCAAAAGCCACTCGCACTCCTCAGAGAGTTCCAAGACCTCTTCGCTTGGGGACCAGAAGATATGTCTGGCGTTCCCCGCCAAGTATCCCAACACCACCTTTCGGACAAGCCGAGAGTGCGATCCATACAACAAAGAAGAAGACACCTGTCTGTTGAGAAGCAAATGGCCCTAGAAGAAGAAGTACGACGGCTACTCAAGGCCGGCTTCATTAGAGAGGTGAAATATCCTACCTAGCTCTCAAATTCGGTCTTCGTGTGAAAGGCGGGAGGTACCTGGAGGATGTGCATCGACTTCACCAGCCTCAATGCCGCCTACCCCAAAGACGTGTATCCCCTCCCCCGCATCGACCAACTCATCGACGGAACCGCCAATCATGAGGCACTCAGCTTTCTAAACATGTTCTCTGGGTATCATCAAATCAGGATGACCCAAGGCGACCAAGAACTGCCCACTTTGATGACACCCATGGGCAACTTCTGCTACGTGATTATGCCTTTCGGGTTAAAAAATGCGGACGGAGCAGCAGGGAACACCGCCTCGAGAGCAGGCATAGTCATCGAATCGCCAGTTGGAGCGGTCCATGAGATCTCGTTGAGGTTCAAAGACATCAAAACCAACAACATCGCTGAATACAAAGCCCTCATCAACTGGCTCCGAATACTTTCTAACCTGGGAGCGTCCGACGTGCACATATTTTCTGACTCTCTGCTAGTGGTCAAGTAGGTGCATGAAACCTTTGAAATCAAAGACGAGAGGTTGGCGGTCTTGGCCAATAGAGTAAGAGGCGCCTTAGCACAACTGAGCACGTGGAAGTTTGACCACGTTAGAAGGGACGATAATCAGCATGTTGATGCCCTCTCCAAGCTGGCTACCGCTATGGATTTCGAAGGCAATTGACACGTCACTGTCACCAAAGAGAACGATTCGCCTGATGAGGTCATGCACATCGAGGAAGCTACTAACTGGAGGACGCCCTTGATCCAATATCTAGAACACGATATCGCTCCCCAACATCCAGCTGAAACGAAGGCACTTAAGTGCAGGGCCGCTCGATACTCAATCGTGGGAGGCCAACTATGCAAAAGGTCGTTCTTCGGAGCATACTTGAAATGTCTTAGAAAAGAGGAGGAACAATGGACATTGAAAGCTATACACCAAGGGACGTGTGCCACGCATGCGGGTCCTTGGTCGCTTGAGATAACTATTCTTTTGCAAGGCTACTACTGGCCCACAATCAAGAACGACGCATCAGATGTCGTTCTCAATTGTCATGCGTGCCAAGTACACACCTCCAAGCACCACCTTCCTAGTTCAGAGCTACAAAGCGTGGTCGGTTCATGGTCGTTCACTAGATGGGGTCTCGATCTCTTAGAACCCTTCCCCACAGCTCCTCTCGGTAAGAAGTACCTTATAGTGGCCGTCAATTACTTCACAAAGTGGATCGAGGCAGAACCGCTTGAGACCATCGCCAGCGCCAGAGTTCAGAAGTTTGTGTTCAACATCATGATCCGCTTTGACATCCCGCAATCAATCATCACTGATCATGACTCTCAATTCGATTGCCGACCATTTGAAAACTTTTGCGCGAAAAACCGCATCATATGCACCATGGCATCAGTAGCCTACCCGCAAACAAATGGTCAAGCAGAAGCGTCCAACAAGCTTATTATGCAGGGATTGAAGAAACGCCTACGATACGCCAAAAGGGCATGGACGACCGAGCTCTCGCACGTCCTATGGTCGCATCGCACAACCCATAAGACAGCCACAGGCGAAACACCCTGCGCACTAACATATGGCTCGGAGGTGGTCGCTCCGGAGGAAATAAACCTACCCTCCCTGCATTTTCAGGCATACAACCCGGAAGACAACCACAGGAAGCTGCTGAAGCAACTAGACATGGTGGAGTTGACTAGAGACGCGGCCTTGGAGCGTATCATAAGCCAAAAAGCGAAGGTGGCCACCTCCTACAAGAAAAAGGTGAGGGCGCGCCCTCTCGAAGAAGGAGACACGGTGCTCAAACGTGATTTTCAAAGGAGGGACAAGCATGGAAAACTCGCTGCTACTTGGGAAAGGCCATTCCTTATTGGCAAAAAAACAGGTCCTAGCACCTTTCGCCTCGCCCACCATGGAGGGCCTCCCTATTTCCAAAACATGGAATGGTATGCATTTGAGGAGGTACTACTAGGACGCAATCTGAGGAAGCTCACATCATAGCAACGATATATTGAAGAGCCTGGGTGACACAACCGCTCTTGTAAGTGTATTGGTAACTATCATAGCAACCTCTTTTGCTTAAGTGATACACTTACGTATTTTTGGCCAATGTCCCGATTTT